GGGGGGTCCTCACTCGGGGACGTCGGCGTAGTCCATGCGGCGGTAGAACTTGGCGAGCCGCGTGGCCAGGATGAGGCCAGGCAGCAGCAGCACGGTGCAGGCGCCCAGGCTGAACCAGAAGGCGTTCTGGGGGACACAGCGGGCATCACTGCCCCCAGCCCTGCACCCGCACCCCCCAGCCTGGCCCCGGCCCTGGCCCCGGCCCCTCACCAGAGAGTCCAGCACGTAGCGGCAGGCGATGGTCTCGACGCCGTCCAGCGCTTGGGCCACGGGGCGGCAGCGCCCCAGCTCGCCCGTCAGCTGTGCGCAGGGACCGGGATGGGCCATCAGACCCCTGCCTCAGTTTCCCAGCCATGGGGACACGCCTGCCCTCTGCCCCCGTGGGATGCAGGCGTGTGCACAGCCCGCGGCCCTGGGGGAGGGAGCCCCCACCCCTCTGCCCCTGCCCTCGCCCGCGTCCGCGTCACTCACGGTGCCCTTGGCCCAGGCCACGTAGGTCTCGAAGAAGCCGAGCAGCCGATGCAGGAAGAGCTGGCTCTCCTGGGGGCAGAGGCGGGGCGCTGCGGGTCGGGAGTGGGGGGCACCGGGGGGGCAGGAAGCTGTGGGTGGGGAGTGGGGGGCACCACCAGAGCTGGGCTGGGCAGGGGGCTGCGGGTTGGTTGTGCAGGGCCCCGGCAGGGCTGGGGGCAGCGAGTGCAAGGAAGGGACTTTGGGAAGGGGCCGAAGCCTGGGGGGGGCAGCTCACATTCTGGATGGTGGCGGCCACACGCGTGCCCAGGAAGGCCTCGGCCTGCTTCATCTGCTCCAGCACAGAGTCCACCAGCATCTGGCATGGCACGAGCAGACCTGGTCTCAGCCGCGCGGCCTGCGGGGGGGGGATCCCCCAGCCCCTCCCCCCAGAAACGCAGCTGCCCAGAGCCCCCCCACGTACCAGGACCTGGTGCATTGTCTTCTGCAGGCGCTGGAGGCTCTCGTTCAGGATGCGCTGGGGACAGAGCGAGCGTCAGGGGGTCCAGGGCCATCGAGGGAGGGGTCGGCCCGGGGGGGGGCACTCACCACATTGCTGCGCAGCCTTGTCTCCATCTCCTTGTCCAGCTGTCGCAGCTCTTCAGCCTCGTCCCGCAGCTCCTTGCTCCTGTTTGGCGCCTGGTGGAGATGCAGCTGCTGCAGAGACCCCTGCCCAGAGCCCCCTGCTCGGAGCAGGGACGGGATCCCGGTGACAGCCACGAGGGGCCCCAAGGGAGCTGGGAGGAAAGGACCCTGATGCCGGGGCGGGGGCAGTGAATGGAGAAGAAGGAGCATGGAGGGACTAGGGCCTGTGGGTCGGGGTCAGAGCTCAGTCCCCAGCATCTCACCCTGGTGCCTATGACGTCCGCCAGCCTGTCCAGCTCGTCCGCCAGCCCCAGCAGCTGCTGCTGGCTCGGGATGGTGCTCAGCTGGGGGGGGCAGGGCAGGGCAGGGGATCAGGGGTCAGCATGGACTTTCCCCTGGAGGTCAGGGGTCAGCACCCACTGTCCCCTGCTGCCCCCCATGGCCCCAGGCACCTTTTGGCGGTCGGCGGTCAGGTTGGTGAGGCGGGTGGTATTGCCGAGGGCGCGGAGCAGGTCAGTCTGCTTGGTGCTCAGCAGCACGACCGGCGCCAGCGTCAAGTTCGTCTCGGCAAAAGCTGCGCGGATCTCG